GTTGATGATGTCATTTAGTACGGGTGTTTCATACTCCTGTGGGCGCAAAGACCGTAGCCATATCCGTCGCCACGTTTTTATGAATGACCTACACATCACTGCGGAGCACGCACTGCGAGGTAAAACACTTGCCCGAGTAAAATTGCCACTATACAAGTCGTGCTCCCGCAACATTTCAACCGTGCCGCGCATGGCCCGCAACGTTTGTGCATTTCGTGCGGTCAACGAATCGACGATAGTTGAATTTGTATGAACTGGTATCTTCCTTATTTGTAAATAAGGAAGATACCAGTTTAGATTCGCTTTTCCAGATGAAACACATGTATTAGAATCAGCTTGGAACGCCAATTGCAGAGCTCTTCCTAACTGTTGAGCTCTATTACTGCAAAATAGACTTATGTTCAACCATTTTCTAAGGGCGTTTGGGTGAAAAAAAAGGAAATGATTTTACACATAAAATTTTCTATTCTTGAAGGGTGCCACGAGTTTCGATGAGTTGGAATGAGAAAAGTCATACGAAACTTACTCATTGACCTATCCCGCTGTTTGATACCAGCACATTATAATTTTCTATTGATATTCCACAAGTCCACCTTGTTCGAGCGAACTCATCATTACACGGGAAAGACAGCAATGCTCAACAATCTGATATTTCGCTTCATGTGGAGAATTTTATAGTGGCTTTCATAGGTATCATCATAAACGTCACAAGGACCCTCGCCAGTTATGGATTCCTTTTTGCATCTTGACGGTTGAACAAGTACGTACAATACCGCTCACAGAATGTGCAAAATTTCCGTGAATGTCGCAGAATTCCAGGAATTCCGCGAAGGTTCGCGAAGTTTCGGGAATTTCGCGAAAATTCTGGAATCGCGAAATTCCGGAAATTTCGCGAAATTCATATGAATCACGCAAATTACGAAGGGCCATAGCTTCTTTCCGAATGAGTACATTCGAAATCCGAAAACAGCATTGTATTCAGCTCGCCAAGGCGAATTCTTTGGTCTACAGGTTGTTGTGTCCAATACCTTGTTTTCAATAATCTTGAATTTGCACGCGGACGCCTCTTCGCATGGTGGTAACGCAACGGGCATCACACATAGGAAACTACCGTGGGCACCTTTCGATGGTACTCTTTCACTAGATTATCATGCGTTAAACAGCAGCCGAAAACTCTCTTTCAAAAGAGATAGAAGAGCCGATAAACTCTGGAAAAATCAAGCTATTCCAAGTTCTACTAGCCGTAACTTCCTTCAGAATGAACATTTTCAAAATCCGAAAGCAGCATTGTGTTCATCTCGTCAAGTGGAATGTTACCGTGTACAGCATGCCCGTGAAATTCCGTTTCCAATTCTTGCAAAATTTTCTGCGCGCGTATATACACAAGGTCGCAACGCAGCGCACATCAAACATAAAAGACTCTAATAAGCACTATTGGACTGTGCTGCTTTCGACCTTTCGACTTTCAACCTGTAGCAATCGCCGAGTTAGGGGTCTACGAAATCACGTTCTCATGAGTTTTGCCCAAAATGTAAAGATCGCCTACTTCGTAGAAATTTCACCTAAGTGACTGTAAGACACGTGTGCCTGAGCCCTTAGGTGAATATCAGAGCAGATTCGTGGCTAAAGCTCAGATCTATCTGATTACTTTCATTACAGCAGGACAGATTCCTTAAGCGAAGTGAACACAAATTGGTGACCACAGTGTCTTACAGTCACCTAGGTGGAATTTCTACGAAGCACGCAATCTTTACATTTTGGGCAAAACTCATGAAGACGTGATTTCGTAGGCCCCTAACTCGGCGATTGCTACAGGTTGAAGCCGGATGCATGCACCTTAATGAGTTTAATCGGCAAAGGTAAGCAAGCAGGTTTTCTAGGAGGTGCTCGAAAAATGCAGGCGAATATACGAGCTTGCGTGGCTCAACTAAAGTTCCCTCACCATATCTCTGCTAGAAAACTCTGTCTCCGCGCAAAAGACGATTATCGTACACAGCGTGTTCGAAAACCTCTTTGAGCGAAGTTTCCTTAGAATCCGAGATCATCGACATTTTGACCAAAACCCATCGGCGAGTTTCAGGGCGTAGAACGAGAAAAAATCAAATCACCCGAATTTCTTTGAAAACTTGCTCATAGAGGTTACCTGACCCTGTTGATTACGAAAATCACATCTGCTTAGCAGTAGAACTTCTGATTTTAGGGTCACTGTGGGCAAAATTGAGACAACGCGATTTTTCCAGTCACCAGCTCTTCTATCTTTTTTCAAGAAGATTCTCCACTTGCTTTTTAGCGCTTGATAATCTGCGAAAGCAGCACAGCCCAACAGTGCTTATTAGAGTCTTCTATGTTTGATGTGCGCTGCGTTGCGACTTTGTGTATATACGCGCGCAGAAAATTTTGAAAAAATTGGAAACGGAATTTCACGGGCATGCTGTACACGGTAACATTCCACTTGACGAAATGAACACAGTGCTGCTTTCGGATTTTGAAAATGTTCATTCTGAAGGAAGTTACGGCTAGTAGTATTTGCAATAGCTTGATTTTTCCAGATATCAGCTCTTCTATCTCTTTTGAAAGAGAGTTTTCGGCTGCTGTTTAACGCATGATAATCTAGTGAAAGAGTACTATCGAAAGGTGCCCACGGCAGTTTCCTATGTGTGATGTTCGTTGCGTTACCACCATGCGAAGAGGCGTCCGCGTGCAAATTCAAGATTACTGAAAAGGTATTGGGCACAACCTGTAGACCAAAGGATTCGCCTTGGCGAGCTGAATACAATGCTGTTTTCGGATTTCGAATGTACTCATTCGGAAAGAAGCTATGGCCCTCCGTAATTTGCGTGATTCATACGAATTTCGCGAAATTTCCGGAATTTTGCGGAATCCCAGGGATTTCACGAAATTCCCGAAACTTCGCGAACCTTCGCGGAATTCCTGGAATTCTGCGACATTCACGGAAATTTTGCACATTCTGTGAGCGGTATTGTAACAGTCCGTCGTATCTGGGTAACGGAGCCTAATTTGACATCTTTAACCTTAGGTAAGTTACTTAAGCCTGTTTGAACAAAACTCAGACAATACACGCCAAATCAGAAGTCAAGCACAAATTTCTCTGTATGCCTCATTTTGATTCTTTGTAATGATCTCTCGATGTTTCTACAACACCTTCGCTGACTTGGGAATGATGTCAAAGCACATTGTCGAGAATCAGTAAGGCTCTAGCTTGTTTCGAACAAACCTCTTAGAAAATCACAAGAAGCTATTGTCTCGCTGACAATTTTGACTATCAAGATATATCAAAGTATCCGTATTCATGAATAAAATTGTTATCGTAGTGAAAAAGTACTTGCAAACTCACTCCACGTTTCTGATCCGCTAGTTAGCATGACTGCGATTAAGACTTTTATAAAACTGACAGCCTCTACATCCTTTATATCCAAAAAATACTTCTTTGAAATCTCAGCCTCTCTTTCTGTTCTCTTAATTCTCTTGGAGGCAACATCAGAACTACGGCCGCTTCACTACACAGCAGCGATTTTGTCATTTGCTTCCAAATATCAACCATATCATTCAAGATGGTTATCTTATATATAAAGCTGAATGTCTGTCTGTCTGTATGTCTGTCTGTCTGTATGTATGTTCCGAATAGAAAATTCCATTTCTGAACCGATCGGGACCAAACTTGGCACACATACACTTTGGGCCCCGGCGGGTGTCATAGGCTACTTTTCGTCATCGATCGATATCGATTTTATCGATTTTTTGCAAAAATTGGGCTACGGGGCTGGGAGTTGGCACAGGGGGATAATCGAGCATGCTGATTACCCCCGTGGGGGTGATCAGCATGCTCGATTACACCGCCCTGCCAAATTCCAGCCCCCTAGCTCAAATTTTGCAAAAAATCGATAAAATCGACATCGATCGATAGCGAAAAGTGGACTGTGACACCCGCCGGGGCCCGAAGTATAAGTGTATCAAGTTTGGTCCGGGTCGGTTAAGAAATGGAATTTTCTATTTGGAACATACGGCGGAGCCGGGTAAGCCAGCTAGTTATGTTATGATCTTCAGTGATGACTGAGAACATAGGAAGAACAATAAAGAAAATGAAGAAATAAAGAACAACATCACACTCGTCCGCTCCCAGTATACTCAGATGTGAAATAAAGGCCGCGGCTCGGCCGCTCCTAGTGTCGTAGCGTTAAGGTGTGCGTGATGTACGACGCATGGTCTGGCTGCCCTCAATGCGATGTTCTTCGAAGTAGGAACAAGATCATATGTCTTATGGTCTTATAAACAACCTTCGATAGCATCTTGGCGTTATTTAATTTTGAAGTTGGACTAGTTTCCGAGGCTGCTATATCGGTGGCTTTGATTTTTGCTTTTCTACTGTGTATTTTCTTATGTGGTAGCGCCAAGGCTCAATTAGCCCGAGCTAGAATGAACTACGGACGGCCCGACAAGCGCTGCGGCTGAGCCAAGGCCCACTTGCGGCCGGGCCGCGGGGGCTGCGAAATTCTCCTGTAATGGGACGCGGCTCGTCCGCTCCCAGTGTCTGAGTATAGACACTGGGAGCGGACGAGTGTGATGTTGTTCTTTATTTCTTTAATTTCTTTATTGTTCTTCCTATGTTCTCGGCATCACTGAGGTAGATCATGACATAATAACCATCTTGAATGATATGGTTGATATTTGGAAGCAAACGACAAAATCGCTGCTGTGTAGTGAAGCGGCCGTAGCTCTGATGCTGCTTCCAAGAGAATTAAGAAAACAGAAAGAGAGGCTGAGATTTCAAAGAAGTATTTTTTGGATATAAAGGATGTAGAGGCTGTCAGTTTTTCAAAAGTCTTAATCGCAGTCATGTTAACTACACATTCGGCCCTCTGTCGCCTTACCGAGCGGCTGCTCCTTGTTCCCGCTCTCGACTGATTTGCTCTACTGACCGCATTGACGACTTCAACTATTCGGACCAGGATTTTCTTCTGATATTCTTGCGGTACGTCTCCATGGAAACCCCAACATATCCTTTGGCGCCCCAGGAGAGACAGAAGAAAAGACGACTCCAGTTTTATGGACTTACTCCCCCAGATTTTGGTCGTGCGGCCGAGGACTTGATTAAGGACGAGGAGCTGCCGTTATACGCTCGAACGATAGTGGCTTATCTTATGGAGAACAGGAAAATGTACGAGTCCATGGTACAACAGAACCGTGAGTTATTGTCACAAGTAAAAATGATGTCAGAGGAAATAGTTTCGCTCAGGAATGGCAATAAGCAACTTAGATCAAAAATCGATTCTTCGCCTAGTGTCACTTCCGCTCATCATGATCCAAACTCATCCAAAGGATTTCCAACTTGTGAAGAAAGGGAACGATCCCGCTCATTGGTTATCAGTGGTGTCCCGGAACTCAAAGAATTGCAAAGCAGCTCCAAAGTCAGGCACGATTATGAAAGTGTTTAGCATATCTTCGATTTTCTTTCCATTGATTGCACTCCGATCTTTATCTATCGTCTAGGAAGGCCTGGTGCTCATGATAGGCTCCTTAAAGTAGTACTACCTACCTCCTTTTTTGTTCAATTAGTGTTGAAACGAGCACCTAAAATGAGATCCTTCCCTTTCAAACGCGGAATTTATATCCGTCCCTCTCTTCCTAAGGAAGAGAGGGACAGGATCCGTAAAGAAAGGGAAGGTCATCATAGCACACCTCCAAGTGCACATATGTCTGTTTCGAGGTCATCGATTGTTAATGCTCCTAATATTGGCAGTGGTAATGTTGCTCCTTCTGAATTAGCTATCCATAGGGATGAGCCTAACCCTCATCGAACCTGATGTTTTTGTTGCAAATAGCTCCTTAATTGGTGTTTTAGCAAATACTCGTTCAGTCCCTAGAAATGTTGATTATCTTAAGTTTTACTTAGGCAACTGTAAGCCCTCTCTATTTGCCATCACAGAAAGTTGGCTCAACAGCGCAATTAGTGATAGTTCTCTATTTGGTGATTTTGCTCCTGATTATTCAATCTTTCGATGCGATCGCGCTTCAAAAAGGGGCGGAGGTATGATGTTTTTAATCAGCAACAAGTTGAGCCCTTACTTTATGTTTAGTGAATCAGTGGATGATAGTTATGAGTTGTTATGCTGTGATATTGCGGGGTATAAACCCATACGATGGATATTGATCTATAGATCCCCGTCTTGCGCCTCATACCCAACAGAACAAATGATTCGAGCACTCACGGACTTGCTAGCCTGCAATAGTGTGTTGGATTTGATTTTCACTAATGATTCAACATTGGTATACGGGGTTTCTGCGGGGGAGCCATTAGGTAGTAGTGATCACGCATCAGTTAGGTTCAGGGTCAGCTGCCACAATTTTGAATACGAAGGTGTAGAGTATTACAGAGATTTCAGGCATATGCAACTAGAGAATTTGACGTATTACCTGTCCACTGTGGATTAGTATGGGTCCTTCAATAGTGTTACCACAGTTGATGAGATGTATGAACTATTTCTTGGCATACTCTATCATGCAATTGATTTATATGTTCCTCTTGCTTGCCGCTCCTCGCAACAAACTGAGATTCCTGATTACCTTAGAAACCTTGATCAAAGAAGAAAGCAGGCATGGGAAAGAGCATTGAATGGCAAAGATAACATGCGTTGGGAGGCTTTCAGAATGTTTAATGAGAAGTTTAACAAAAGGCTTAAGAAATATTATTCGGCGCTTGAAACAAAGGTGATCAACTCGGGCAATAAAGCTTCCTTTTTCAAAATGCTTAATTTAAGACTTAAAAATAAAAGAGAAATTGGAGTTTTGCTTACTGAGAACGGTGAACCCATTTATGAGGATAAAGGAAAGGCGGATTGTTTTGCAAGCGTATTTGAAAAAAGTTTTGTGGAGGAAAATATTTCGGATACTATAGAAACTTCTTCCGAATTTCAGCAAATGAGCGATGGTGTTTGGTTTCAAAGTGAAGAAATATATCAACTTTTAGTCAGATGGCCTAAATCGTCTTCACTTACACCCGATTTCTTGCCACTTCAGTTTATCAAGTCCATAGCTCATCATTTGTGGTCCTCTGCAATTTATATACAATTTGAGTATGATGCGGATGAAGTCTCATCTAGATGGAGGGTATTTGTTACGCCAATTCCGAAAAAGAAGCCAATGACTTGCCCGAGTAACTTCAAACCAGTAAGTATAACTTCCATATTTTCGAGACTGTTTGAGAAAATCTTTAAAAAATGCATTGTTAAACACTTAACTGATAAAAAGGTTATTTGTCCCTCTCAGCATGGTTTTCAACAAGGAAAATCCACTGTTACTGCAATGTTCCAATCAATGAATGACTGGACCCTCCGGATGGATAAGGGTTGCAACACCGATGTTATTTACTTAGACTTCTCAAAAGCATTTGATAAGGTCCCGCATAGTAAACTAATAAATAAACTGAAAGCAGTCGGTATGCACCCACGTATAGTTGTTTGGATAAATGCGTTCTTGGAGTGTAGATCATTTGTAGTTCGTGTCGGCAAAGCTTTCTCTGAACCTAGAATGATGCGGTGTGGTGTACCTCAAGGAGGTGTATTATCTCCCATCCTTTTTAACATTTATACCCATGAACTCCCTCGTATACCATTGTCGAAAGGTGTGTCTTGTTCTACTTTTGCTGATGATTTCAAGTTTTATGGGGTTGTTATGGATGTTACCGGTCGTGATCGACTGCAGAGTGCTCTTTATGAGATTTATTGCTGGTCGCAGATCTGGGGTCTTCCTATTTCGAAAGAAAAAACAAAAGTAATGCACATTGGGGCAAGTAATCCTGAGTATCTTTATTTACTGAGGGAAACTTCACTTGAGTCTTTGAGGAGATCAGAGACTTAGGGTTTCTGGTCAAGAAAAATCTTTCTTTTGATGATCACTGTAAAAAGATAGCTGACAAGGGTACAGTGGCGGTGTACAATTTATTTAGGGCGCTTTCAACAAGAGATCCGGTAGTCCTTTTAAAAGCTTATAAAAGTTACATAAGGCCTATGCTTGAATATGGTACTGTGATATACAACCCCTATAAGCGCAAAAGTATTGATTATTTGGAGAAAGAAAATAGCTTCACAAGTAAGCTATTGATTAGAACTGTTGGGTTTGTCTATGATCAGATTCCAAGTAGTAAAATCCGCAATAGGAACCTTGGGTTAATGACACTGGCCTGCAGAAGGAAGAAATCTGATCTTATCATGGCCCATTAAATATTCTATGGAGACTGCGGATTGAATCGTGATTCGTATTTCACAACTAAGATATCAAAAACTAGGGGTGGTACAAGAAAGTTGATTATTCCAAGATCTAAGCTAAATGTACGAAGAAATTTCTTTATATGTAGAGTTTTGCCTGACGTAGATATACTTATACGTGAACGAGTGTTTGTTCCTAAGCTCGCTTCGTTCAAACGATTGTTAAGGAGCCATTTGCAAAAAAGTCAATTTTGTTAATTGTTTCCTTATGACGTTGTTTTGGTCTTTTGTTGATTGTTTTATTGATCTTTATCTGTTTTCCGTAGGGTCTCCCTACGTAATAAAAGAATATAAAATAAACTAGCGGATCAGAAACGTGGAGTGAGCTTGCAAGTACTTTTTCACTACGATAACAATTTTAATCATGAATACGGATACTTTGATATATCTTGATAGTCAAAATTGTCAGCGAGACAATAGCTTCTTGTGACTTTCTAAGAAGTTTGTTCGAAACAAGCTAGAGCCTTACTGATTCTCGACAATGTGCTTTGACATCATTCCCAAGTCACCGAAGGTGTTGTAGAAACATCGAGAGATCATTACAAAGAATCAAAATGAAGGCAATAAATACAATGGCATACAGAGAAGCTTGTGCTTGACTTCTGATTTGGCGTGTATTGTCTGAGTTTTGTTCAAACAAGCTTAATTAACTTACCTAAGGTTAAAGATGTCAAACTAGGCTCCGTTACCCAGATATGACGGACTGCTACGTACTTGTTCAACCGTCAAGATGCAAAAAGGAATCCATAACTGGCGAGGGTCCTTGTGACGTTTATGATGATACCTATGAAAGCCACTATAAAATTCTCCACATGAAGCGAAATATCAGATTGTTGAGCATTGCTGTCTTTCCCGTGTAATGATGAGTTCGCTCGAACAAGGTGGACTTGTGGAATATCAATAGAAAATTATAATGTGCTGGTATCAAACAGCGGGATAGGTCAATGAGTAAGTTTCGTATGACTTTTCTCATTCCAACTCATCGAAACTCGTGGCACCCTTCAAGAATAGAAAATTTTATGTGTAAAATCATTTCCTTTTTTTTCACCCAAACGCCCTTAGAAAATGGTTGAACATAAGTCTATTTTGCAGTAATAGAGCTCAACAGTTAGGAAGAGCTCTGCAATTGGCGTTCCAAGCTGATTCTAATACATGTGTTTCATCTGGAAAAGCGAATCTAAACTGGTATCTTCCTTATTTACAAATAAGGAAGATACCAGTTCATACAAATTCAACTATCGTCGATTCGTTGACCGCACGAAATGCACAAACGTTGCGGGCCATGCGCGGCACGGTTGAAATGTTGCGGGAGCACGACTTGTATAGTGGCAATTTTACTCGGGCAAGTGTTTTACCTCGCAGTGCGTGCTCCGCAGTGATGTGTAGGTCATTCATAAAAACGTGGCGACGGATATGGCTACGGTCTTTGCGCCCACAGGAGTATGAAACACCCGTACTAAATGACATCATCAACGCTCAGCTCAGTCACGTCCAGTGTGTAAATCTCTCATACGGAAGAAAAAAAATCATTCAGATAGGAAACCAAGAAGACGCTATTGCCGAAAATGCGTGCGCATCGGGCGCGGTCGGGCTATCGTCACGATTTGTCGAATGTCCTACAGTCCTTGCGGTCACGAATCGACGATGCGCTGCCAACGTGTTAACACCTTGACGACGAGCACAGGGTAAAACAGTTTTAGTTCCTGCTAATCGAAGACTTAGTGTGTGAGAAAGCGCACGCTAACCAGTTCTTTGGTTTCCTTTGATTCTTTACATTAGGTACAAGTACTTGTGGAAATGTAATCGAGTTTTCCATGACGGCTGCCACCAAATCTCGGCATCGTGTGTGTATAACTTCGAGTTTGTTTTCTGAGCCGTAAATCAAGATTGTCAATGATCCGGTTACAATGTTTGTAGACTGCCTGGGCACTGAAAAACGCGATGACGCTGAAGCGTCAGCCCGATAAAAGGTCTTTATCAATCTCGTCTTACGGCTCAGGAAACAACCTCAATGTTGTGGATAAACTGTAACCTCATTTTGGTTGAGCATTGAAGCAACATTATGAAATAGCTTCTAGAAATACTGAATTCATATGCTACGGTCACTGGACAGGCCACCATTGCTTGCAAAGTAGATCATTCCTGGCAATCAAATAATGTTACTGAAATTATTAGCACCGTCAGTATGCCTTTTATAATTCCTCTTAGTTTTTCTGGGCCCAAGTGCCTTCGCAATTTGTATAATTTAGAAATGACGAGATGCACACAATTTCAAAAGTGCAGGGGATGCGTTTGATTAACACAAAGGGAAGACAATGACACAGTTGTGAAATTAATAGGTGGCTGATAAAGCCATGCATAACGCGCATGTTAATAAAATGTTACGTCAAGGTTTAGCGGTATAAAATGCAGCGTTGATGTTAAAAACATCACTCGACGTTTAATCAACGATGACAGTTGCCTTTGGATCAGTTGTTTGTGTAAGTTAGTTTTCTCAAGACTAGGACCTTTACATGAATTCATTCAAGGTTATTCTCCTTGTCCACACTTCTGAAGGATTACTAGAGCTGCCGCCCTGCAATGATGAACTAGGACAATTTGATGAATTGAAACGCAGAGAGCTGGTCGCTGGGGTTGAAACTGCTGTGGCATTTATCAGCGTAAGCTCAATCGTTGCAACTTCCGCAGCTGCTGACAAGCACTATTTTTTACAGCCATCGTATCGTTGTAAATGGCAAAAGCTAGCATATCTTTACCTCGCCTCTAACGGCGGACAAACTTACAAGAGACTTGCCAGTGCGCTAACCCCGGCTAACCTGGTAGAATAGAATTATGAAAGCGCGCATGTATGTGATTTCATAATTTACTCAGGTTTTGAAACCAATCAACTTTACTGTAACGAAACTCAGTGCAGAAAAAGTTTCTGACATACTGCAACCCCTTGCTGTTGATAATGAGGTAAGAGTCATGCTTTGCTTAACATTTGTGAAAGCTCGTCGTGCAGCTCAATCTTTTACCACATGGTTATTGCCTCTGTAACGCGTAAGTCAGAGTCAACTTTTTGTATTCATCGACGTTTCTCAGGTGACCTATCCCAGCGAGTTTGGCTGTTATCTCGATAGGACAAGGGCAGTCTGTGTGTTCCTACAAGACCCTCGCTTTTCACTCAACCTTCTATAATGTGGAAGCTGCCTTTATGTAAACTCACAAAGGAAGCTTGTTTAGTCGAAATGCGCCTTTTAGATGGGATGTATACCATACTGAAGGGCATAAAACGCTAACCCCAAATCTGCCTTCCTTATCCGTATCACGTTTGTGGACAAGGATGAGCCTTTTTTTGGAGCAAAAAATTGGCTGTGCATTTCGGATAAAATGAGTTGCTAAAATCTTACTAGCCCTCAATCAATGCCAAGTGTGGTATATTTTTTACTAGCTGGTGGCCCCGGTCTCACCCGAGACTTCAAGTTAGTTAAGCCAACAGAACTTGTAAACTTACGCCTCTAGATTTCTTCTAACATGCGCTATAGTGCTTCCAGACTAATTGCCGCACCTTACCATTAAGACTGAAATGGACTTTACCGCCCCTGCTTACATGCTTATATGTAAAAATGGTCGGTTGCCATGATGGCCTTTCATTTTCTTAGTTTTGAGTAAACAAATCAATAAATCGAAGGAATGGCCCGGCGAATCGTCGCGGAAAGTAGCTCTAAACCACCGCCGGTGTCGAAAATATACGTGCGCGAAGTCTATAACGAACGAACAACTAAACGAACATCCTCACAGACATTGAGTTTTATATAAATATAGATTTTGGAGTATTTTTTGATAAAGTGCGCTGATGATTATCACTGCTCCATTAAAGAGCTAGAAAAAGGATTACGGTCATTTTTGATTTACTTACACCTCAATTTTTTGCTTTAATAAGCGCTCATAACTCTTCGTCCATAAACGTTCTGCAGATAAGGAAGGCAGATTTGGTCGGCATAAAACCCATCCATAACTTCGACTAAACATGCTTCTCTTGTGAGATTGCAAAACTGTAAATTTACTTCAACTTTTCTTTCAATAAGATATGGTATAGCTTAATTGTAAAGATACAGTGGTTTTCCTTGCGAATTCTGGATAAATAATGAAAGAGAGTTGTCGTAGCAAGAAAGATGACAATAGCAGACCTCTATGTTCACGTAAGTGACATCTTCATAAACCGCAATGGTCCGAAATGAACTTTTCACGTACATTTCAATTTGATGAAAAACCTCCATGTATTTTGTCGCAGTAGAACAGTTGCATTCACACTGTGTAAAATCTAATCCAGCACAGTTGGCAAACTAAGTCGGATCAGATATCTGGCAGAAGTGATACACGCAATGTGTTTCAATAATGTATGAAGAGGCATGATCAGGAAATTAAATGGTATATTGTAAGTAATGAGAGGTGCTCCTTATGCAACAGCAGCAGTGTGAATGTTCTAAGCACATGTCGGCTTTTTGAAATGACCAGCAGTTCCGTACAGTAAGGATAGACAGAGTATCAAAGCAGTATCCGATGCAAAAATTCTTCCTCTTTTCAGCTGCACCCTCAGCGTAATTCGCTAAGATAATGCTGAGATAATCGCTGGAAACTTTAGCCATTTGTTTTCACGATGTCCAAATACTGCTAATTTTCATAATTTTTATTTGAGACTTTGAAAAAAACTTTGATAGCCAGCATGTGGGGCACAACTTCTGCCAATTTTGCCAATTTGGGTGGTGGTCAAGAATAACGATAGCTCTGCTAGCCGCTCGCGAGCGCAGATCAGCTCGCCCTTTCTTTTTCAAGGAGCAGAGATGATTGGCTGAAATCCCATTTGCTTTCGTTAAATTTATTTTTCTACATTGGTCATTGAGGCTCACACATTTGACATGATGAATCAAGCTTAAATGATAACTACCATGTGTTTAACATTGATGTAGTTGCTGTTTATTTCCATCTAATTGCTAATTTTTTCCATCTAAAAAGATATCAGAAACGATAGCATAAAGCAAAGATAAGAAAAACAGCGTTTGGGCATATAATATTACATACTGCACTGCCTCCGTGCTCGTCTGTGGCTAAGCGGTGCTACCTGTGTACCGCTTATCAGCTATCGTTGTTCTCGACATATACTCAAGCAATTTTTGTAGCCTTGTGGCCATAGCTGTAAAAGGGGGAGCAATGGATCCTACCCCCTCAGATGGCTGAATTGGGAAGATAATTTGAGAGTGAGTCATGATAAAAAGTGGAGATTTAGCACTTTAGTCGTGAAATACAACAACCAAGGAGATTGAATGCATTTTTCGTCAGCCAGAGCGATACAACAGATATATCAGCTAAATCAATCCCTCATATCTTAATGCTAAGAAGAGTTGAAATCCGACGGACTTTGTCAATTCTCCGTAATCTAAGCTTTCGAACAAGATAGTTTGTTTGGGCTTTTTGCTTCCTGGCTTTGAAAATCCATTGCTCCAGTGACGCATAAAAGCCAATACACTGAGGGAGAGAGGTGGAGTAAGCTAATAGTAAATATCTCCACCCCACTTTTAAAAACCGCCAAGTCTTTTCGCTCCACAATCTATGTAACGTTTGAAAGCTTAGGAAACATGGACTCGACGTAGACCGCCGACTTTTTTCTAGCCCCACTGAAACGAGAGATACGCCGCACTTTATCTAAAATTATCTCCATTTTTGAGAGCAGATTCCGCCAACGAAAATCTAGTTACCGCTGATTGTCTATCTAGATCACAAAGCAAGTCTTCGTCAATAAACGTAGACCGTTGTCTCGTACTTTCATCTTGATGGCGATAAGAGAGCAGAAAGTGAACACAATAATTTAGTTAATATTGACCAGATGAATCGTTCATATTTTTCGACGCAAAATACTTAAAAAAATTGACAGTGTAATTCGATTCATGACTCAGCTTCCGAATGTCGAGTAGATTGATAAGGCATTTCGCTTACATGGCTCATTACCCCCTTCACCCTATAAGACGGGAGTAGCCGAGAGACCCCTTCACCGGGAAAGGGCCCGGCTCTCCCTATTGCACCTATGCTTGTGGCTTGTGTTTCACAAATTTTAAAACACCAGTGCGTCACCTCCGCTTCGCGGAGGTTCGCACTGGCTCTCCTATACGTATGCCTTTCTCATGTTCGCATAAAGATGACTTTAAAACTTACCACGCGATATCGAACATCAAAATTAAATTGTAAACAACGTTCATTCTTGAAGCATCTCCACGTAAGATCGGTAATTTTGAGAAAGAAAACTTTTTCGCAAAGGAACACTGCGAATTTGAATGGATTACTGAATTTGTTTTAGCTTGGTAGTCGTCACGAGGGTAATAGTCACTTTGAGCTATATTTTAGTGTAAAAATCTTTTCAAATTTTTAGGTAAAACCTTGCCAAATCAAGTATTGACGCGATCACCACTTTTTGGCGCTGTTTTCGCAGAAAGGCCAACTTTTTGAGCACTTTTTGTTCTAGAATTCATGGGGCGCAGATTTACTTGTTAGGCAAGTCATGGCTTTGCAAAAAATCCAAATCTAAACTCAGTTTTGCCGGATTGAAGCCGTGTGGATCCGTTTGACGCAAAATTTTTGTAGCATCAACCCAACGGATCCCCACGAATTTGCATGATGAGCCTAGATGTTGGCAAGATGCCATGACCAAATTTTTAGCTCAAGACATTTGCTGCTACCTGCTCTATGAATTTCGTGACAGGCAGACGTACACACAGACACACAGACAAACAGACGTGAACAACCCTTACCCCGTTATTATTAAGTCATAGATATTTTTTGAAGTAACCATTTATATTCGGCTTATTCTGAGCTCGTAGAACATGAAATTGTAAACATTTCAGGTGCCATTTGATGCAGCCCTGTTTTCTAACAGTAAACTTTTCTCGGCAAGACATGTGATTTGCGGGGGAGAAGTGCAGTATTTCTGAATTTCACGAGTGCGCAGTCACGTACCCTAAGTCTCAAAATAATTATATTTCAAAGCGAAAATCGCTCATTTAGTTCATAAGGTTGGTATTGAAAATCATCAACTGTTAGAGCCTCATTACTCTGAAGTTTTTGTAGTATTTGGTGCAATAATGGACTTTGCGATTTTTCTGAAATAAAAGACCATTCGAAAATTATTTGACAAATATTTGGAAGAGTAGCTGAGAAAAGAAGAGAAATTGCATTAGTTGGCAAAAGGTTTGCCCTACCTGATGGGTTATAAAAGCTTTCTCAAAAGTTTCATGAACCTTAAAGAATCGCGAAACCTGAACATGTTGAAAACAAAGAGTTGTACTTTTTAGCGATTATCTCAGCACTCTCCAAACGAATCACTTTGAGAGTACTGCAGCTGCGAAAGGGAGAAGTTTTGGATCGAAAATAGCTTGATGTTTGTTTACCTCTATTCATATTTGCAGGTGGATTCAAGAAACTGACGAAACTTTTGTACCGATTTTTAAATTTGATAGAGAATGGCAAGCTCTTCAAAGACTGTCAGCACTGGTAGTAATTTGGTCGAAACCATCATTTCGATTAGATTTTCATAACACGAGATAACCAATGGGTTTACATCATCTTTTTAATGAAACCTAAAATTAACCGTTTGGAAGAGGTGGAGGTGGGCAAGTCTTTGCTCAATTTTAGATTTAACAAAGCGATGCCATTGTAAGGGATTGAACTTCCATTCAACCTCATGCTTGACCGCTTTCATTGCACTGTACCAAATTAGCAGTTCGGTCTTCATTTTTACTTTTTCCCATAACCTTATCTAAGTGTAAACTGAAGAGCCTTCTCATGTTAACTTTCAGAATGATTACCCTCACTCCTCTTAACGTGTAAACCACCCATCTTGGTTTCAAATGAAAAAGTGGTCAGGGGTTCTTTTTCATTTTAGACGATGATATGATGGTTTTATATCTGCGTCTCATAAAATGAACTGCTAATTTCATTACTCTATCTGACATCAAAACAATGATTTTAACCTGCGGGAAATTCGTAGTATGGTTTAGAATGAAACGATCATGGAACAGTCATGGTAACGTGCGGCTTACATGTTTCATGATCTTGTATGAACGATTGAACTGAATGGCCATGAGAAGATAATCAAGTTCACCACGATGTAATCATGATTGAACCATTACATTGTGGTAAACACTCCA